TACTAGTAGTCGCTCTATGGCCTTGAGCTCCGATTCTGACTTTCATGACTCGGCCGGAACAGAACGATATGAAAAGATAGTTGATTGATATGCTGCTACGCTTCTCCAATCAAGAATAGAATATGTATACTATCTTTCTATTATAATTCCCAACATGCAGAAGTACAAAACCAATTAATATAGAAAAGAAAGTAGGGTTGGAACCTGATGATCTTCGAGCCCGTCTTTGGCTTTACTGATCCTGTAAGAACTTTCCCAAAGCAAAGTTCTATCCTTTCTTCTTCAGAAATACCTAGTCCACCTGATTGATCCTACGGTCAGCATCGGTTTGATTGGTTTTGACGCTGCGTTTCTCTGCCGCTTTAACGCGCCTAGGCTGGTATCCTAGTCCGAGCATGATTTTCCATGCTTCCCTACCGGGTTGATATCCATCTACCCGCGGTTTATATCTTTTCCTGCTAAGCTTAAGACACAAGACTCTTGTCTTCGGGTCTTCCTTTATTCGGGTGATAACGGTATAACCAAAAGAAAAGGGCGAAACCAAGGAGTATTGATGTCTAGGACCGAAAGATGAGTGGAAGAAGCCATCCCCATACTCTATAGTGGCACGAACTTACTTCCAACAAAAAAGCACTCTGGAGTAAGAGAGAAGAACGGAGAAAGGAAAGAATACCTCCGAACTGCTATGCTACATAGAGAAAGACCTTCTACGTTATCTAGCTATTACTAAGTTCAAATAGTTGAACTATGAGACTATGATATGAAATAGAATAAGAAGTAATGAAAAAGATCTGCTAGTAATAAGAAGAGATATAGAAAGTGTGATAATAAAGACGAAAGGAGAATAACGATACTGCATATGCAACGACTGGCTCACCCGGAATTGGTAAATCGAAAAATGGAGAGTTAGACCTATCAAAAAGAGACCTACTCTTTATCGAGACTATTTGAAAGTGCTACACAAAACTAAGGAATATGAGATGCTAGTCTTATCGGATATAGAGCTCAGCTTGCCTAAATATCATAAGCGATGTACTTTTTTGTCATTAGCTTGTAAATGGAAGGTGTAATATTCTTGCTTTTCAATACTGTCTATTGGTGTCATAAGTACTTTTCTTACTACGTGACTGATTTTTGGTCTCCAGGACAGTGTTTTTTCGACGTTCAATGGCAGAAATGCTATGGTTACATCGTATATGTGACAGCTAGTTGCAACTAGGGTAGGTTTACGCCGATTCTCCAAAGTCATTCATAAGGCTTAAAACCAGTTGACGGAACTTGAACTTGGTTGGATCACTTACCCGATACATCCCTCTTTCATTGGTTTTGTGTTTATACATAGGGAAATCCGCTGGTTTGCATCCCAACAGCCCAAACCTTGTGAGAAGATCCATGGCATACTTGCACTGAGACAGACATACGCCTTTCTTTGATCTCGCTACCCCGATTCCCAAGAAAGATGGAAGATCACCCAACTCTTTGATGGCAAAGGTTTTCTTTAGGTGTCCTTGTTGTTCATCTATGGAACTTAGGTAATCTCCAGTGACATCGGACTGCTATCGTAGAGAAAAGAAAGGCAGCTTAAAGGAAAGCAGTTGTCAGAGAGAAATCCCCCACCTAGCATTAGACTTTCTTACTAAAAAAAAGAGCTGTGGTTGGTTGTTGACCCAACGAAATAAAAGCATGGATGAGTGTTGAAGATTAAGTATTTTTATGTAAGCAAAGTAAGATGACAGTAATTTTATGTATTTATCTATAAGAGTGTGGGTATAGTGGGTAAGCGGGCGACAGTTAGAGTTGGTCGTTGTTGTGTGGCTTCGACTCCCCAACAAGATATGTAAAAAATTGCGTATTATAGAATAAAAGATTTGGGCTGGCCAGAATCTATCAAAGAAGCCGCCCTTTACTATACGGAGGTAGGATAAGGAATTAGGCAGCTTAGGGACGGATTTCCTTTCTTATCTTATTGTTGAGACAGGAAAGCAGTCAAGCGGGTCGGCATCTATCTGCAGTAGGAGTTGGACGTAGCACATAAGAGAGGGTCTTAGGAATCGATCTAGATGCCCAGAAGAGGATGCTATCGAATCGGAGTTTCCTGGAGGGACTAATAGAGGGAGAAAGAAGATTGATGCAGAGAGGAGTAGGTGCATTGATGCCGCAAATCCGATGTTAGTAAGAACTGGTACGAATGGCATTGATGCATCGAATGCCCTCTTTGACGGGGTTGTGACAGACTAGGTTGTGCAAGAAGCCGATTATTCGACCATCTTTTCCAATAGTGCCATTTAATTGATGCTATCGAAGAAGAAGGAAGGCTCAGACTAATTTCCTTAGAAGCGTCTGTCAAATCCCCTTTCTACCTAGGTGTAACCCTTGATAATCCGTCTTCCTAGAAATGCCTCAACCTTCAATCTGAAACCCTTCGACTTCATCTAACCCCTGCTATGATGCACGCACCTATATATCCCACTCATCGTCCTGATTTCAAGATTTGAGGAAAGGAAGAGTTGTAAGGCTCTGAAAACACAATCTATAAAGACTTCCGTTAGCCATGCAGTGAGCGGTACTCCGTCAACAGAGTCGACAAAGCAGTCAACGGTAGCCGACACCGGTTTCGTTATCATAGCCCTACCTAGTCTTTCTTTTCTGTTACAGAATCCGAAATTGACTTCTTTCTAAAGGCTCGGCTAGCTAGAAGGGAAGGCAAGAGCGCTATAAGAGGTCTTTTGAGGCATTCTGGCAATGCTATCTTGCTTGATAAATCCCTTCCTTCTTATTGGCTTAGTCAACAAACGGTATAACACTTCTCTCATCCCACTGCCGAACTATCCATGTCTTATTCTTATACTATTCTACTTGCTCCGAGATGATAGATCGGATGAAAACAAGAGAGAAGGAGCTGCTTTTGAATCCGGGGTTGGAAGATAAAAGCAATAGCATGCATGATAGGAATAGCAGGTTTCATAGAGATGACATCACAATAGGATGAAGACGTTATCTGCTTTCACGTGGAAATGGGAGAATGTAAAAATGCCTTTGCTTTTGAAAGGCGGAAGGATTACTTGCTAACGGTTTTCTCCCTCATGGCATCTCGTCTAAGTCCAAGAGTTAGTGCATTGGATGCCTGGGCAACTGCATCTAGTACAGCTGACTTCACACCAACCCAATCTCAATTAAAAAAAGAAAGATAAGTACAAGCAACTACATCATGAAAGCCGGAAGTAGTGCTTTCTACGCTATTTGCATACCTAAAGGTAAAGCCTTGAATCTAGCCTACAATCCCTTCTTTATTCTCTTATGATATTGCATCCGGCTTTTCTTATATTCAATTTCTAGTGACCCGGTAATGCCACATCAACTATTCTGTGCTCGGGGGTATCTTAAAACCATTGATTCAATTGCATCACAGTTGATTCTCGAACAAGAACAGCGCTTAGGTATTCAGTACGACCGCTTATTCCAGCAAGAACGGTAACAGATGAAATAGCTAACAGGGCATTTTCTGCACCAGCTCATTCCCTTCCCCTTGATCGGATTAACTGTCCGTGGGATATCTTCCTATTATCCTTCCTTTGCCTTTTCTCATGTGCGCTGGTGATGGTGCCTTACTAGAGGAACGTTTAGTGAGAATTGACCCTCTCCCTCTACCTCTGTCACTTCTTGTGGCACTATCAAGCGATAAGGACAGATGTTTTCCCCTGGGTCAGGGGGTCTTCCAACTGCAACTGGTGTTTTACTCCAAAGATAAAAGAACCTAACTCCTGGGCCTGTGCAGACTCTTGGCGAGGCTGTTCCAAGTGTGTAGGCCCCACATGTTGCTCATCTCCCCCTGTTGGTGGTCTTACAGTAGCAATGGACGTAGAAGGAATTCTTTGCATGGCTTTTAACGTTTGCATGAGAAGGTTCAATAACAACATTCACCTTAGTGGGACCCCCCAGCACCATCTTTCCTTAGTAAATACTAGATGGATTCCCTATTGCTATGCTAGCTTCCTTGGGAATACTACCTTGCACTGGTTTAGGCGGCCCTTTTAGAGGCAACAGTTGACTTCCCCTTATTGTGGTCCCTCGAATATTCTACTGTCTTGTTACCTTCCACAGAATTCGCAGGAAGCCCCAATAGCCTATCCTCTTTCTAGCTTGAGGATGTAAAAGTCGTTCTTGTCCGTTCTGTCTTTCTCTGAGAGTGAGGGTAGTAGGTGTAGAAGCAGTCTTGTAGCCTTTAGTCGGCTAAGAGCCATTTCGGTATCGTGCTAGTAAGGTAAGAGCAGCTGTCGATTCTGGTAGCATTCCAAGTCTTGGATTGGTCCATTCGTTAAGCATTGGAATCGCTTTGCCCGCTATTCCTTCTCTTTCTGTCTATCGTTTATCTTTTTCTTTTTAGCGAGTGAAGTTCCTCTCCTTTTAGATGTGCATTCCCGATCTTTTTAGTCTCTTGAATATTCGATTTCGAGTTAAGAGGTGTCTATGCCACTAACCAACTCCTTAAAGAAATACAAGAGCTTCTCCGGCAAACCACTAGAAGTACCCATCGAGTCGAGCAATTTGATGCTAAGAAAGGTTTCTTTCAGGGCTAAATTCAAAGGCTATAGAGTGTTCCATTTTTAAAAAAGAAAAAGCCAGAGATGTAATGTAGTCTTTGATGAAGAAGCATCTTGAAGTGGGAGCTAAATCGGGAAGAGAAGAATCAAAATAAAGTCGTAGTTCCTTGAATCAGAATATGCAGCCCTCTCCTCTCATAATCAAAGTCCAGCAATAGCAGATTCAGAATCAGATAAGATGCAACAATTCCTTATCCAGGATCAACTTAGTCCTCGCCAGCAACATCTCCAAGAAATTTCCAGATGAAATGATTCCTCCAAAGAGTCTCAAACAATACCATTATCAGACGAAGTCTGCCCTCCAATTAAAACACCGAAACCAAGGTAAACCGAAAGCCAGACATAGAACTCCGTTAACGGGATCCACAACTTCTTTATCTATGATAGCAATAGCAGCAAATGAAACTTCAAAAGATTCCACTTGAGAGCGGCATCCATCCCCTTGGTTATTTCGACAATAAGGTATTCTCTATAGCACCGTCTTCTTCCCTCAAAGCGGAAAGGGATTGTTCTTCTTGGCCTCTGTTCACATTATCACATCACTTAGTGATATGGTACTGTGCTCAGAAAGTGTATCCTGGTCAGCACTTTAGAAAGTATGCGGTGTTGGGTGATGACGTCTGTATAATGGACGCCAACGTCGCCGACGCTTATCAGCAAACCCTTGATAGACTTGGAGTTGAGATTTCAGTCTCAAAGTCTCTGGTCTCTCATAGTGGTGCTGCTGAGTTTGCCAAAAGATTTCGAGTTAAGAATATAACTTTTGATTTATCTCCAGTGTCGATTCGAAACTTGCTCAACTCTCATCACTTGCCTGGTACGGTGTCGCTTTTGAATACCTATGGTATCAAACGATTCTCGACGCTAGCAAGGTTGCATTTTTCCTTCATGCCATTGTCGGGGAAGCTCTTACAGTTTTCGGAAAAAATCCTCGGTTTCCTTTAAGAGGAGGAATGCCAGTACTGATTCTCTGAACTTGAAGCTCGCTCTTCGACCCGTACCGTACCCTGTACACTCGGCTATTCTCCCGATTCAACTCCCTCTGTCTACGCTGGGAAAAGGGCTGCCAGAGTAGAGTGAGGGCTTTGTCTCTTTCTGTTTGTGCCAGCTGGCCCTGACCGAATGTTCTGACTCCCGGTAATCGAATGGGTGGTAGTTGGGTTGGCTTTGGCGAAACTTTTTGTCTATGAGCTGTTTTGACTGCTTTCTTCCCGTACTCGGATATGAAGAAGCCGTAGGGATTCACTCATTTCATTGCCTCAGCCCTTCAAGGTGGTGCACAGCCACCATACCTGATTGCTTTGTGTTTCAAACTCCCCTGCCCCATCCTTTGACCCTGCTTGAATCCAGGGTCAGAATAAATTCCTTGAAAGGGCTGGAAATGAATGGTTTCCTAAGATGTCTTTTACCCTGTCGCTTGCCTATTTACCCAGAGAGAAAAAAGATTCGAACGGGAAAAAAGAGATCCAAAAAAGTTAGAGATTTCTACCAGTGGTCATTATAGCTTCTCCTTCTGATCCGACAAAATGCGCAAAACCCATGGAAGTTACAAAAAGCATGGATCGAAGAATATAGTTCAAAAGATAGAGATTTCTACCAGTGGTCATTATAGCTTCTCCTTCTGATCCGACAAAATGCGCAAAACCCATGGAAGTTACAAAAAGCATGGATCGAAGCATATAGTTCATTTGCTTTTTTTTGACAATTGTGCCTAAATCTTCAACGTTTCAAAAAGTCATCTTTCTGAGTGCGCTTGACCGCCTTACTTTACTCGCGGTACACTTACTATATTCCGCAGAGGTTGGCAAGAGCTTATTTCACAGCAAGACTGAATGGAATTAGCCTCGTAGAACTGAACTACCTTGATCTAAATCTCTGGAACTCACAGAAGACCAAGGCACATCCACTCTCAATTCAGCATAAGCTTGGGATCTTTCTTTCCTCAAAGCTAAAGCCCTTGAAGCCTGGTCTTTTTTCTCTTCTTTAAAGCCTGGAGCTGGTGTATGAGTTTATTATATCGTAAGTAAGGAAGTTGAGATTGTCAGTTTCATTTCGTGAACCAGCTACCCTTTCTCTTCTTCTTCCGTACCTTCTTCTTAGTCTACCTACTCTAGAACCAGGGGGAGACTCATTGGACATCAACAAAAGCGCAAAGGTAAGGGCATTCGCAGTTTTTATGGCTTGTATTGTCTATCGCTTTAACTTAATCGGTATCACCCCACGGCGTCTTTTTTTTACCGTTATCCCTATAGGTGTAGGTTCCACTAGTATGAGAGATTAGGTTATTGGCTTGTCTTGAAGGAGAACCCTTCCCCGTAAGAATTGAATTGGGGCTTGAAGCGCGTAAGGCGCCGCTACATAAGGATATATAAACCTCGTCTTCTCCTCTTTCCTGGATTCCTTCTCATCGAGAGATGCGGCATTAGTGGTTCCGATGCCATAAGTAGACTGCTTTCTTACTCGTGCAAAGGTTTTTGGCAAGATGGATAGGATTTCTTACTTCCACTTCCGGACATGAGGGCTTCAAGCCTATGCTAAGAGAGTAAGGTTCCTGTCTCGATCCTTTTTCTTTCTTCTTTTGCTTTCCCTGCAAAACTCTTCTCGGAAATGGATTGCTTGACTTTAAACTAAACAATCAAGAAATTATCTTCCCACGCCTACTTAAAACTAGGGACATGGTTATAGCAGTCTCTGTTCACTCATGCTTGCTGCTTAAGACTCTCTTTTCCCTCTACACCTGAAAGATAGAAGTAGTTTGACGGCGAGGAAGAGCTTGAAGAAGGAAGAAGTACCATTGGCGAAGTTGCTTCCTCCAGTCTTTGTATGTATGGGATGTACCCGAGAAAGAGACAAAGCAGCTGAGATCAGAATGAGTAGCATTGATCTCTCCGTTTGGTCCGACTAATCAATGTAAAAAAGATTCCATCGATCGGTGAAGCACATTAACGGAAGTGTGCACGCTAGCGCTCTACTCTAAGCTTCTAGTTAGCTCAAAAAAACGGACTCCCGGGCACATGGGTTTGTGAAGATGCGTAGGTTGATCCGGAGACATGGCCACTACTGGCCTACGGTCCTGTCAGATTGCATAGCACATGCTAAGAGCTGCGATGCCTGCCAGAGGTATAGACTCAGCGCAAGCCGGCTTCCGAGTTATACCCGATTATCAAGCCTTGGCCATTTCGAGGTTGGGCCCAGGAATAGTGAGTTGATATTCGCTGATATGCTTAGCGAGAATACTTCGCAGCCGCAATACCAAGATGGGCTCAGATTATTGGAACCAGAACTCTGCTGTACAACTAGCTGCTGCGATCACTGCCTCAGCTAGGATATATATGTAACCTTATATCTCAAGAGAGGACTGCTACTACACGGACACAGACTCAGTTGTGCTTGGCCTAAAGAAGTTCTTTCTTCTTCTGTCTTAGGTAAGTTTAAGCTAGAGGACAGAGTCATGAAAGGAGACTTTTTAGCACTATTTCTACATCGCAAAAGATAGCACCAATGTACTAAAGTACAAGGGACCAGCGAAAAACCTGGTCAGTCCAGAATGGTTTGAGTCACAGTACGCAGATCCATCTCGTACAGAACAGGTAGCGGTGGAAGCCAACTTCCGGATTGATTGGCACACTCTTAACATCATAAAGAGATGTCAGGCTTGGGATTAAGCAGGGGACCAAGAGGATACCAGTATATCACGGAGATGTATGGGTGGATACTGATCCAATTGATATCAAAGACTTGTCTTCCCTAGATCACATTGGTAAAGTACTGATTAAATCACTAAGGTAATACAACTACAGAAAAAAAAATGCCCTTTTATCCGCGCAGAAAATTCACTTTCTTTCACGAGCTTTACTGCTTCAATTCTTTGTACCAGGGATCAAAAAGAAATTGCGTATAGCAAGAAAGGAAGAAGAATGATAGATGACTAAAGTAGGTACTGGGACCTTTTGGAACATGATTAGGGATAAAAAGAATATCTAATAGACTGATACGTACGAGCGAACAATAGTTCTTATCTCTTCTCTGTACCGGTAAAGACTTTGACCTTAGAGTAAGGGGAGGGCCTAAGACTTTCTTTATAGCCGGGAAGATCATTTCTTAATCGCTTAAACCCGGATAGAATTTCTCTGGAAAGGCTCTAGGAATTCTCTCTACTCTAGAAGCCATAGGCCGTTGAGCAATAGACTGAAGAGGCATCTCTAACAAAGGGAGAAGGCCAGAGGTATAGATCCGTTAAGGCCACTCCTTAAGCAGGACTTTCGGTCAGTTCAAAAACCATTAGGTAGGGCCTGTGCGTGATATAATCAAAAAGGGAAGACCCTTAAATCTACTTGAATGGATCTTGGCAAGGCGGATCGAAAATCATTAATGCCAGAATAAAAACGCCAAAGAAAAGCGGGAAAGTGGGGCTATATATCATATAGTAAAGCCAGAGTCAAGACTACATGCCTATTTGACTGCCCGATCGTACATTTCAATAGCTTTAAGAGAGTTTTCATATAGAAGTCTCGGACCCGCCGGGGAAGAGACTGAAGAAAGTTCAGCTCTTTACGCTGCTTTTTAATTAATTACAGGGGTATTCTAATTCTTTCGGACATTAGCGAACATTGAACCGTTGAGCCTGAAAGAGTGAGAGCTTGATGAGATTTTTAGGGCCGATAGGCCAAGCCGATTAGACGGACGGAAATAAGCAACTAGTCGTGCCATCATACTATACCTTAAGGTTGAATTGAATGAATATAGAAGGGCTTCCCTTACCTTCTATAAATAAGCCGATTTCGAAATGCGTTTACTTCCAAGCCCTTTCTGGCGGCTAGTGCCCCACCTTTCAAGTTGACAGATTCGTCTTCGAGATAACTGTCAGAGCCCCCATTCTCGAACTCCTAGAAAATGCCATTCCATCGGGTTACCACGCACACAAAAATCATTCACATTTGTCGTCATTTCAAATATCACCTTCACGGGTCCCCTCAACATCCTTAACGGCCTGGTTCATTAAGATGTTGAACTGAGACTTCTGTGGACAAGCTGCGCGACAGAGGCCTAATCCTTGAGCTCTTCTAATCCCCGAAGAAGCTCTAATCCTTACAAGGCCATAGACTAACTTCTCAAAGAGAATAGAATGATTACTCCAGTACACAAAAAAGGCATCTGGTTGTAGGCGTAAATCCAAGACGAGGTGACAAAGTCTTCGTATTCTCGCGATCCCCACAGACAGTTGAGAGACCCTCAAAGGTAGGCCCGGTGCTCGCTCAGTGGCAAAGAGGTTCCCTATGAAATATGGACAGGATCCTGAGGAGACGTTCAGCCCTCTTGTTATTATGCCTGTTTTCGTTGGAATCCAGCTTACACTGAAACCAGATGTGATAAGGAGTGAAAGAGAGGAGGACAGGTAGGCAATTGACGTATTACAGGAAGCGAGGGACGCCTCTTTGCAAGCCGCTGTTGAATCAGTAAATGTGGCAACTGGTGGTAACGTCTTCAAATAGTTGATTCCGTGAACTCCCTCTTAAAGAAAGAAGGAAGAGCCCTCTTTCTTCAGTCATTGATAGAGAGGACCTAAAGCATTAGCCTTTTAGAGTTGCTGTCCTTATCTCTACCCCAAGGATATTTCCATAAGCTTATTTCCTGTACTAAGTATACTCGGTTCGGAGTGAGCTTGCATATGTAAGTAAAGATTGTGCTCAATTTCATATGTGGCAATTCCGTCAAGATCTCTTCTATAGGATTGAGGCGCAGTACGGCCTAAGGAGTCAATACGGCCCGTACTGATTTCATTATGGCCGTATTGTAGTTCAAATGGCTCAGTACGGCCGTACTGAACCTCTAGGAGGGCGTATTGAGCTCCAATCCTCACACACCCTTATTCTAAGCTACTCTAAGACTTCTAGACCTACAAAGAATCATCCTAGGGTCTTCCAGGAGTCCTTCCGGCTGACTTT